CAGAGCAGAAATCAACCACCTAAGAAGGCTGGGTGTATATCCCAAGGCAACTCGCCTAAGAAGCACCTGAGAATAATTCTACAGCCAACAGGGCCGAAGGCTCTTTAGGTCCTTCAGGTCTCCAAAAAGGGCAATTTACAGTCAAATGAGCCTTGAATTTCACTTCCTTCCAACTACAGGAACTGCCTTTGTTTCTTTACAAAATCATTTTAGCTGATCAAAAATAGTTCAACTGGCCCACAGGCAGCTTTTGTGTATTACCCAAAGAGGTTGCTATGTAGACTCCATGTATGTTGCCTTATCTGGTTCCTCTGTCTCAGACGGATTGAAAACCACTGCATTAGCTTTTATTGCACACACCTGATGAACATGATTAAACTAACACAGAACAAGTCTCTGACTTCACAGAAATCAATTAATTGCAGTAGTCAAATAACTATGTTTGCTTAGATAACATAAGCCTTTCCTTTACGATAAGATACAGGATACTTGGGACCGTCACACCCTGACCACTGCCTTACGGAACTACAGGGCAAAGCTTCAGCTTCTTGGACAAGAGGTCAAGCTTACTTCTACATACAGAGAGAAATACTGGGTAACACCTCTCCACAGCCTTACAGCATTAGCTGCTTATCACACAACCCTGTGCCAGCGAGCAGCACCAAGCTCAAGGGAAGAAGTGGAGTAAACAGGCTGTAGAGAACCTGACGATCCATGCTCAGTAGTTGAGGGAATGATCCCAGCACCAAGCCATAGAGCTGGGAGAGCTAATAAAAACTACATTACAGACCAACATCCCCAAGGAGTCTGCTCTATTCCCTCACTATATTTTGAAGCACAGCATCATATTGTTAAAGCCTCATTTACCCTCCAACCCCTCCATCCCCAGTCGCAGAGCTCAGCTGTTCATACTGGAGGAGCAGCTCAAAGTCCAAGCACATCACAGCTGTTTGCTCAGCCACAGGGTGCACAGACAAGCAAGTAGGGAACATGTTCCACACCAGACCAGCTGCAGAGCAAGGAAAGACCACCTATCCCAAAGCACAACACAGGTAAGAGAACTTTATTCAAGACTGGTCCAGTTCAAGTAGTCTGAAAACACCTATATCTGAACATGATCCAAAGCTGAGGTGCCACTTGACTGAGGCCTTCAAACACCTTATTTTTTTTTCCCCCCAGTGAGCAGCTCCTCTCCACCGGGGAACAGAAGATTTGCAGAGTCATTCTCTCAGAGTCTGTCCATGACTGATAGAAGGCTCACACTAGAGAAGTCCAATTCATGTAATGACATTGAAAACGAAGCAACAACATTTCAGGACAGAAGAATTACATACAAAGAGACAGGACCTGACCAACACACAATTACCACCACTGCTACATTGCCCTCTCTCCTGCTGAATTCCAAGTGAGAGGCTAGAGATATTATAGGCATACGTCTTATGACATTTTGTCCTTACCTCTTACAAGGACGTTCACTGTAAGTGGCTGTGCATCTGCTTGTTTCACTTAGTGCAACCTTTCATAGTCACATATGCCCAACCTTCACAGAACTGGGTGTTCCAGTTAAGGGACAGCCAGGCTTGAACACCTTCAGCATAACCTTTCTGGAACCTGCAGCTCTATGCAAAAGCATCTTTGAAGATTTAAGTTTAGAAGCAGGACAGATTATTGAAGAGTGACTCTCTCAACAGCAGTCTTTTATCCCCTTTTAAGGAGTCTGTACTACGCTTTTTGAGGACGGAAAGTCCTGAATAGGGCTGTATCTCAGTTACTTGAAACTAATATGTAAGACATTTTGGAATGGTCTTTGCAAGGGCTCAGTCCATATTAGTAGAGGAACTTGTCACTCACTTATTTTAGTCAGATCGAACCCACAATGAAAGGAAACAAGTATTTCTCAACAGCAGAGTAAGTAAGTGCGAGGCAACCGCACTTCTTGGTCAATCCAGAGGTACAGATAAAAATCTGTACCCTGGCAAGTGTGACACCTCCTTCCACTGCCGTTACCTCTAACGGAGCACAGGCACAAAGGTGCTTCAAGCGTATGGTTTGTACAGAACTGCTTTGCAAAGCATTTTCAATTATTGCTGCCTGATATCAGCAAAGCAAGGTTGGCAGTCAGAGACAATCTTTATTATTAAGTCAACTGATACAGCTGAAGAAAAGACAAGCCCTTGGGCGTACAAGCCTTCCCAGAGCCAGAAGAGGCCGAGTTAGCTGCCTGACTGGGTTAGCATCACTGCCACCCACATATGATGGGCAAGTGGGACTTTGCTTCTCCACAAGAAGGACAACGTGCCCTTGCACACTGAAATTAAATCAACTGTTTGGTACTGCAGTCAGTCAGCTGAGTTTGATCAGTTGTTTAACTGTATATAAATTTAAACTTTGCAAGATATTTAGGCTGAAGAAGGGCAAATATTTGCACAGAAGATCAATTGTTCTATAGCACCGTAAGAATAGCAATTCAGAGCTCAGAAACACTGTTTCAGAGAAACTCAAAAGCAAAGATGAAGACTCCAATATACTAGCAAAACTGTGGTTATTTAGGCTTTTGCTGGAAAGTCCAAACCACCAGTTTCAGGCTATACCTTGCAACAGGAATTATAAGCACCCAGCTTATTATAAGATCCCAGCACTTAAACCCTTACCAGAGTCTTTGCTAAACCCTGTTCTTTGTTAACTTATTCCAAGTTCTGGTACTGCCAGAGCCAGCAGTGTGAAAGTAGAGATGAGGAGGCAAGAGATACAGAGCAAAAAAGGGGAATAACAGGACAATGTGAATCCAGCAGCACCCAGGCCATTTCCACTATTGAACGAGGTTAAACTACAGAAGGTTTGAATCACTGCTCTAAAGCCACCATTTCCTGTTGTGCACCAAATCACACCTAGAAGTACAATTGGAACTTAGTAGATTCGGACAACCTGTGTCAAGGACAGAGGATGTTATTCAGCCATCTTTCTTTCCCAGTGCCACATCCCAGAACAACTATTTCAACGTGTTAATCTCTGCGTTTTCCCATGACAAGTTTAATAAAGCAGATTTATGAAACACTAAGAGCTTAAGCTGCTATTCATTCCCTGAATAGAAAAATATAGCTTTTACAAGAGTAGAATAAATTAATTTTCAAGTTTAACTTCTTCAGAAACAGTTGTGCATGATGGAAGGACTTATCCCCAAACTCCCCATCTTCTCCACCCCTAAAAAAGACAGTTTGGCACAATCTTAGATCAGCCCCATCTTCTGTGCAGCTAATTCACTCAGTAACACAGAGGACCTCCTGTGCAAAATCAACTGTTTTTAAGAATAAGGCAAGAGAATAGAAGAACCCAAACATTAGCTCTGATTTCCCTTTTAATAACCTTACTGTTCTTACTCTTGACTTTGAGACCAAAATAAGCCATGCCTCAAATAAGAACAGCTGCACGTCCACTGATCCAAGAGACAGGAGAATCCATTGAAACTCCTCTTGTGAAATGAGAACTAAGCAAGCACCTAAGAGAGGACACAGACAAACCAAGAAAAGATAACACAACAACCAGAGACGAGTTGTCAATAACAAAACTCCCTGCAGAGGAAATAAATGTTATCAAAGGAAGTCTGAAGATGAGATATCACAAATGCAAACAGCTGAACTGAGTGTCTTACGAACACCATATCAGCAGGGACTAGAACATGTCAACCTGAGCAATATTACAAATGCGGCTGAGTGTGATAAATAAGGCCTGTAAGATGAATATACTGTACCAGTTAGCTGACTAACAAGCCACTAACATTTGTCACAGAATGAGGCACTAGTGCTGTGGAAGCCAAGCAGCAATCTGCAAGAGGCAGACAGGAATCTTTAGTGCTTGCCAGGCCACTGACAATTGTACATCAACAATAAGAGGAAGCTGTTATGAATTCTCTGAGGAGACCTGCATGAAAATGCAGAATGCAATCCCTCCAGCCATAACTGCGTGAATAAAGCTACTGCTGACAAACCTCTCCAAAGAAGTTAGTGTCAGGTGAGGGATTTCATCACCTGTAACAGATGCACCTACCCACGGTGAGCTGGAGGAAGTCACAAGTTACACGCGAAGGTGCAGAAAGGAGCAATCCCATCACACAGGCTGACAAGCAGGTACACAGTATCTAACAAAAGGGAGTCTGAAGCTGACGCGAGATGCTCCTAGCGGGGTCAGGACCTTGGAGCACCAGAGAAGAAGCCGTTTGGGAGAACAGTGTGACTTGACAGCCGGAGGCACAGCTGCCCTGGCTCTAACCCACACGAGGGCCACCCTCTGCTCTGCACTGAGCTCCCGATAGCATCACACCCCGGCCTTCCCTCCCTGCGAGCACAGGGATGTGCAGCTCCCGGCCCAGCTTCACATCCCCAGGGAGGGCAGGGGGCGGTTGTCACCGTACCGCCAGTCCCAGAGCTTCCACCCCCGGGGAGAACCCAATGCCGAGGGACACCCCACCTCCGCCCCGGGCAATAGACACGCGAGGACAACGCACGGCGGCTGGGCAGGGCGAGACCCGGCCGCGGGGCAGCCCTCTGCGGCCATGCACCGCCGGGAGAAGAAAGGGAGGGAGACCCGGCCACCTCCCGAGCCCCACGGGAAGCTGCTCCCCGCCTCACCTGCAGGCCCTGCCGGGCTCACAGCACCCTCCACTCCTCCCGCCGCCGCTCCCGCCCGTCTGCCGTGGGCCCGCCGCCCGCCGCCCTTTAGCAGCCGCCCTCGCCCTCCCATTGGCCCCCGCCGTGTCGCTTCCGCCTAGAACCGCGCGGCGATTGGTCAGAAGGGAGTTGAGGGCGGGAGCGCGCGCGCCAGCGGAGACGCGCGGGCGCCATTGGCTGGAGAAGGCTCGGCGGGGCGGGGCGTCGTAGTTCCATTGGCTTCGGCGCCTGTCAGTCAGGCGGAGAGCGGTGATTGGCGGCAGAGGGCGCGGGGGGCGGGACTGCCCGTGCCGGAGGGGGGCCGGGAGCGTCGGCGCCATGACAGAGCCTGAGAGAGCCACAGCTCCATCCTCAGCCTCGCCGCTCCCTGCCGCCGGAGCCAACGCCCGTGGTGCAGGGGAGGCTGCGTGAGGAGCGGCTCCAGATGAGGGACACGTTCACCCCTCAGTGATGCGGAGCTCCGTAGTTCTGAGGGCCAAAGCCCCCTCTAGGCTACTTATGAGCTGGTGCTGGATGCTGGTCATGTAATAACGTGTTGCAACTAAAGTCATTCAAGAACAATACTTTAGGGCCTTAAAAATGGTGACAGGGCCTTCACCACGCTGGGTTTGGTTGCCTTGGGCCCACAGGCCACCTGTGTGTGGCAAACACCGGGACCACCCTTGGGCTGTGCCAGCAGCAGGGAAGGGCTTTCCCTGGTCCCTCAGAGGCACAGGAGTGCCCAGCGTCCTCCTCACTAGTGGGGAGTGTGACAGGGACAGTGAAATCCACTTGAAGGTGGATGGACCCCACCATGTCAGGGAGGCACTGGAGGGAAACAAATTATAAGATAACAAACTGTCCACAGTGTGATGTTTATAAACCTGCTTTTCTTGTGTTATCCCAAAAGAGCCATGCATTACGTTGCTGGTAACATCAACTGTTCCGAGCTGTGCTCATGGTTGCTTTATATAACTGGGTGGAAAAATCCTTCCTCTCATTTCAGACATTTTGGTTCCTCTGTTTACTGGGAGTTGGAGCTTCCTACGTAGAGAAAGCTCTCAAGGAGCAAGTCACATTTTCCAGGGCGCTGTGCATGTGGAGAGATGAGTAACTGCTGTAGCCTGAGTCACAGGGAAGGAGAGAGCTCTGAGGAAGGGGAGAGAGGGAACTGCTGGAGTGACGGTGGCAGAACAAACAGCGGCATCCTCTCCTCCTCGATTACTCCAGTTGTGATCCTGCACCGCTCAGTCAAACAGCAGTATTCCTTATCATTTAATTAACCTTGTGGGATTGCCCAGGGTTTATGGTTGCTAAATTTGTCAGCAACTCAGCTGGGCTGAGGTTTGGTGTGTCTCAAGGCAGCTGAGTTATGCTTGTGATCAAGCTACCAGATAGGCTCAGCAGATAAACATCCGGTATCAGGCTTAACTAAGTATTTCAGGAATGTGTTTGAGTTTGATTACACAAAATTGCAGTCCAATTGACTCCGTGTGTACCTTAGCTCCTTCACCATCTGATCCAGGCAGGAAAAAACAGATCCAGGCAGGAAAACATGCCACAGACCGGAGCTGAGCCTCTGGGTAAGGCTTTTATTTTAAATCCTTGAGGCTGTTGGAGATTTCTCTGACCTGAGAGAAGCTCAGCTGTTAGAAGACAGCTTTGTTATGGACCCTGCCACAAAGCAGAGCAAACCAAACTCTCAGCTGCCCACTTCTTGCTGAGGAGAAATGAAACATAGGATGGTCTTTTATACCAGGGTTGCTCAGATGCATCAGTGAGGAATGAGAGCCAAGAACTGGAGGGGACTTAACACTGGAGAGGTGGCAGCACGATTTCCCAGGTGGCTGTGGCAGCAGCAGCCAAAATCCTGAGTTTTGTTTATTGCAGTAAGAAGGGAAGTGATGGAAAAGGTGCCGTGTCTCCAGGAAGGGGAAGAAGAATCGGTGCGAGTCATTGGCATTTCACTCTGAGTGACCTTGGGGGGTTCCAGCTGTACCTTGTGGTGTGGGAGCAGGGGTGTCTGGGAGGGAGCAAGAGCATTTTGGGAATACAAAGGCCTTGTGAAGGGAGCTGCCCTCTCTCAGAGCGTGCAGGGAGTTGCTCTGGCCGGCCCGCTCCATAGGGCTGGCGCTGGGAACAGCAGCGTTACCATAGGTGGAGCGCTCCGGCCCCGAGCCAGCAGAGAGGCTGTGCCACTCACAGCAAACAGCTCATGCTCAGGAAATGCCATCTGAGCGGGAGCCTGAACCATCCCAAAAGGAAGGGTGCTGGGAAGGGCCGAGCTTCATTCCCAGTCTTGTAGGGAAGGATTTGGCAGCACCAGCCCAGCAGATGTTTCTGCCTGATGTTAGTGCAGGGAAGCGGGATGGGGGTGTCCATGAACACCCTAATGCTCTAGAGACAGGAGGATCCTTCTCTGAGTAATGTGGATACTGTCAAAGGGGCCAAATGTGTGTGCAGGGAACTGCAGGCACGGGATAAAATGCAGCTTTGCCTTGTGCTTTGGGCAGGCAATTACCTCTGTACAGAGGCCAAAAAAAGACCGATGATAATTCCACCTTTTTAAACACAGCAATTGGAAAGGTACCAGGCAGAGAGAACGCCACGTGCTGCTGAGCCAGCCTGAAGACACCCCCGTGCAACACCGTGGTGAGAATCACCTTTTGTTCTTCACATCCCTCTCACTTTTTGGCTGTTGCTGCCACAAGGAACTCAAACTCTTTTTCTGCTTCGTTTCCCCTGGCCCAGCTTTTCTCCTGCTCAGCAAACCCGCCGTGTGCTGAAGGACTCCCGCGGACTTTGCACCCCCGAGGGAACCTTTTTGCTGGAGGAAACATCAGGGTGTTCATCTCTGCCAGTGGTGTAGCAGAGAGAAAAAAGGAAAACATCTCTTAGGCAGGGCTTGATTGCCAGCTGAAAATAAGCAAAGTGCCTGTCAGTGACATGTGAGCACAAAAAAAGCTTCGCAGATGGAAATAAAGGCAACGCTTTTTTCCTCTTCTCCCGCTCTGCCTTCCCTGCAGTGCCAGCGAGGCTTTGGCTCGTGGGCTGCAGAGCCGTGCTGTTCCGGAGCCTGTTGGATCTGGAGGCACAGTGCTCTTTGCACTCTTACGTGTTTTCTGAAAATGGTGTCTAAAAGCGTAATGGGCACTTTGCAGAGCTCTAAATAGCCCAGCCTCTGTCCTGAGGAGCTGGCAACGCACGGAGGCAAGTGCCTGGGATGGGAGAACGGCTGCATCATACAAACCAGTCAGGGAGGTGGCACGTGGCCCACCTGCTCAGTATTTTTCCATCGCATTCTCATTCAGCTGCTCCTTTCCAACTTCCAGCTCTGTCACGCTCCTCAAAAGCTTCTACTCTGGGTTTATTTAGCATGGTATTTATTTCCTAATTATAGAACTGAAGTGACTGACCTCAGTCAGCCCTGCTGGGTACTGCTGTCCACCTTTTTGTCCCCTGTAGACCACAGGCTCTGGTCTCTAATGGCTGAAAGCCATTGCTAGAGACTTTTTGACTCCTTTTTTGTTTTTCTACCAAACCCAAGAGGGCTCTGACTGCTAACACAGGGAGCTTCACTTATCATCTCAGAGCAGATGGGCTATTGCATTCCCAAATTCTTTAGGCCGAAAGAGAAATGCCACTTAGCTGAGCACTTTACCAGGCTGTGCTCCGCTGCTCCGTCCACAAATTCCAAATAGCCAGCTCACAGCTTTTACCCCACATCCAGCCACAGCTGCCGGATGGAGGAAAAGGTTTTGAAAATCACTCCCCAGCAACAGCAGTGCTGCTGGTCCTGCTTCTGGATGCTCCATGGCACTTGAATCCTGCCTGGCTCCACAAGCAGTCTCGGTGCTCTAGGAGAAGAATCCATCTGTATCTCCCTCAGATGAATCTGTGCCACAACACCCCTGAATTTTCCAGGGGGTCTGGTTAGGTGAAATTCCTACCTTCTTCACCAAAAGCTGCCAGGCTGAGCAAACCTGTCCCCGCAGCCACTTCTTATGCCACCTCTTATTTGCTCTCACCCACTTCTGGCCCTTTATCACACATTTTGGTGAAGCGAGACACAGCTGCAGGAGCCAAGTGGTGCTTTGGTGTGGCACCTGTTCCTAAAGCCACTGGCACAAGCAGAGGGGTTCCGTGCAGGGGAGGTATCATCAGAGCAGCAGGTGTCTGGCAGGCCTGGAGAGCAGGGAGAGGAGGCATCTCTGGTGGAAAGCAGGATGGACTTGAACAAATTGATGTAGTAGAACCAGAAGGATGTATGAGTTTCTCCTGGAGTGTTTCCAAGATGTCATGCTGAATAAAGGAAGTCATTGGTCTTCTGTTTAATCCCAAGTGGTCTGTCTGACATTTGCCATTATACTGTGTTCCTGAGGTTGGAGTTTGGAAAGACTATGATTATCCTGCCTCAGAAAGCTGGTGAGGGAGACTGCTAAAACCATAGTTATTTTTTTTTCAGTGGCTGCTTGTGAAATATTTTCTCTGGAAAATTTTCCATGGAAGTAGCGGTGCCTGAGGAGAACGAAGGGTTGCAATCCTGCAAACTGAAATGCTCAGTGAAGTGAACAATAGGATTATCAACCTCTTGTAAAAATCCAAATTTTAGTATTGCCTGAGGAACGGGGAAGGACCTCTTCCTAGAGAGCAATATTTATGGAAATAAAATGAGCGGAGGTGGAAGCTACTGCCTTGTGCCAAAATAGTGGGAATCTGGATAGGTCTGGGAGGGAGGGAACAGACAACTGTCTTTGGAGGAGGGTGAGTACAAAGGAAATGGTTGCAGTTGTGATTTGGGAGAATGAGTGATGGTGTTAGGGAGCAGAGAAACAGAGCTCTATTTCCTGGAGGTGTAGAAGGAAAATGGGGATGAAACAGGCTTGATGCTGGTGCAGGGAGATGGGTTGTGGGTAAGGCTGGTGGGAACCACAGGAGAATGTTTTGGGGGGTAGACGGGTGGGCAGGAGTCAGCAAGGAAAAGTGTGGTGGCTGGCATGAAAGGCTAACCTAGAGCATCTCCATCTGCTTGATGCTCTCCTGGAGATGCACTGGCAGTCACAGCCGAATGGGGAAGGCCTGCTGCCACATCCAGAGGCGTGCTGGGGGTGACCACCCTTTTCCATGCACAGGGACCTGGCAGGCTGTGGATCAGCCTCCCAAGAAAACACAGCAACTGCAGAGCTACTGCAGTCACTGATTCCACACCACTCAGTGACCTCAGCCGGCTTTGCAGGAGCAGCATTTCCCCTTGGAAAACCCTGTGTGTACCACCACCAAGTTAAAGTATTGCATGGGCTAGAGGAAGTAACCAGTGCTGCTGACGCTGTGTAATGATCCCGTCTCTGGGCTGACACCACCTGAACTCACTGCAGGCTCCACCTGGCAAAGCTGATGTCTCAACCTTTGGGAAATGACGTCTGAGTTATCACACGTCTGCTCAGAACAGACCAGAGTTATGATCCTGATCCCTGGAGTTCCCATGAAATCTATCCTTGGATATGGTGCTGCAGGAGGATTTTGCCGGAGTTACACAGGGCTGGCCATGTAGGGAGCGTGGGAGGATGCAGGATGCGTGGCTGAGTGATGATGGTGGAGGTCGTTCCTGCTTCCAGCTCAGGGAAGAGCTACCGCCCCGGCGGAGGCTAGAGGGTGCTGTGCTGCAGGGAATGGGCGTCCTCCTCCCTCCCTGCTCAGAACCCCTTCAAAGCCAGGTAAAAATTTGCGGGAAACGCTGCCTCTGAGCTGAGTTGAAGACCAAGGTTCTGGTTATAGTTACTAACAACCTCCAAGGCTTTTTCAGACTATAATAGTTCATTAGTTCATTATTTAGCACCCAAAAAGGTGACATACAGAAAGTTGGGTGGCTTTTCTCTGGTGGGTGAAAAAGGAAAAAGGGGACAGAGACAGGAGTGGGGAAAAAGAGTGAGAAAATGAGGAACAGATCAGAAAATAAGGAAGCTGAGTGGAACAAAAGCAGAGGATAAAGAAAGAAAATAGAAGATGAAACCAAAGCAGAGGATCACATCAGCTACTGTGTCCAATTAAAGGCTTCAGATCTGCTGAATGATGAAAGAGAGATTTGCTTGGGAGAAAAATAAAGGAGCACTTCTTGCTTGCGGTGGCTGAGGCTGCAAAGCCCTTGGCTGCTGGGGCAGGATCAGCTCCTGTTTACCCAGCTGAGGTGTGGCTGATCCTGAGCCCCACAAAGAGCAGGGCTGAGGGGAGACAGGATAGACACGGGAGACAGGGCTGTGTTTGTACAGCAGCTGACAGGCAGCTGCAAGACCAGGCAAAACCACGGCACGCTCCTGAACAAGCAGCTCTGTGAGCAGATCACGGCTCCCTGGAAAGCCTGCCAGCTCACCACAGGCAGGAGGAGCGAACGTGCCTCCTGCATGGGGCTGCACGTGCTCTGCAAAACACAGCCCTGCCACCTTGGGGCTGCGGTTGTGGGGTCACTGTCCTCACAGCTGGCAGAGCTGCTCTCTCTGCCCGCCTGCAGCAGGTGAGGCAAGCGTGCTTACCTTCCCAGGTGTTGGAGAAGACAGCCTACCAAAACTGGGAAGGCGCAGGCATACAAGGGAGGAGGAAGACTGCAAAGGAGTCCCATTTCACAGCTAAAGGGATTGCACCTCCCTCTGGGCCACGGGGAGGTTCTGGTGTTCTTTCGGGTGCGCAGTGCGTGCAGCACCGTGTCCGTGCAGTCGCCTCGCTCACAGAAATGAGCCACATCAGGTCTTGATGGGGTGACCTCCCTCCTGTTTTCCACTTCGAGCTTGAGGTGGGGTAGCAAGGACTGGAAGGGAGCATCCTAAACTGGACATGGGTTACCACACAAGCCCCTAATAATTGCCCTGGTCCCATCGCACACAGCAAAGGAAGTGCTGGGGCTGCATCCATAGGTCCCTGGGGCACATCTCCAGGAGGCACAAACAAACCTGGCCCAGAACATGGACCAAAGGGAATGCCCCAGGAGGATGCAAAGCTCTGTTGAAGAGCTAAGAGGGGCTGTGAAACTCACGTGTTTTCACTCTCTGTGTCTACTCTGGATGTCTGCAGCAAGAGCCACTGTTTTTACTGCTGGGGCTGTCAGGGCAGCAGCCCATTGCCAGGTGGGGGCATGTAGGGACTCAGTACTGGAGCTGGGGCTACTTAACTCTCTAAGGACACTGGGAGAATGCAGAATAGGTGGGATTTGCATCTAGTATCAACTGGGCTGTGGGACAGGAAAAGGACATGAGAGGGAACAGTGAAATGTGAAAATGCCTGGAGGGGGGTGGATGACAGAAGGCAGATGGGTTCATGCTCTAATAAAGGCTCTGTCAGAGGCTGGACAAAGTAATTGGTGTGATGGGAGATCCCACTGAGAAGGAGGGGTGATTGCAGAGGACATATGGGGTATGACTAACACAATGGATGTATTAAAAACACTTTAGTATAAGCTTCCTGGCAGGGAGGGAGAATCACTTGGGACTTTACAAGGGTCTGATACAAACCTAAGATCTAGGTAACCTCCTTCAGAGGAAATTTGTGAAGCAGCTAGGGGATGGGTGGATACCTCTGCCCCTCAGGACACTCTTGTTCCTGCTAAGGAGGTCGTCACCACTCTGCCTGGTGTGTATGGAAACGGTATGGAGACATCTGTGGATGTGCAGAGCTATCAGCTGGCTCCTTGCCTGGGAGCTGTTGTCACTGCTGAGAAGGGAGGTAGCACAGCCCCAGGCAGATCTCTTGGGGACAACACAGCTGCCCTGGCAGTCCCGTGGTGTCCACTGCTCCGGCCTCGTGTCCCCTTGGGTGCGTGCTGCCCCTGGGACTGGCTACGTGCGCTTCTCCATGGCGGGTCTGGACGCCCTGTCCAGGCAAGAGCCCGGTCGGACCGTGGCGATGGCTCTGACAGATGGATTTCGTTGAGGACACATGTCTGGCTTGGAGTTTGTTTTCATTTCCTTTTGAGGAAAGGAGGAGTCATGGGAGAGGAGTAACTGAGTGGCTGAGCTGGCTCTCCTGGACACAGACTACAGTGCCAAACAAGCTCTTGCTGTGGTTTCTGCTGTGGCTCTGGAGGCTGCAGCCCAAGGGGCAGGAAGCGGTGGAGAAGGAGCTGCAACCGGTGTGCTAGGAGTGCAGGATTGATCCAGGGTGGGAGAGAGATTACATCACAAGGGGAAGACTGATGGGTCATTACATGGGGGGATGTGTGGCTCTTTGCCAGCACAGGAGCTCCTGTAGTAGCTCCAGGGGAAGACACAGGGCACCAGGAACTTCCTTCCAGAGCAGAGGTCCTATAGGAGCCAACATCCTGCATCGATGGTGCTCCACACAGGGACACAACTGGCTCCAGGTGGCCTCTGATTGCTGCTTTGGGCTGGGGGAACCAAGGGAATAAGGAGCTGCCTTTGAGGTTTGATCTCCCCTTATTTCCCCCCAGGATCAGGTGTCTGTGTGACAGAGAGGAGGGTATGCAGGGATTGGTGCTATCCTGCTACATTGCTGTAGATGTGTCTACTGAACTATGTCTTAAAAGGCCCCAAATATTCCTCTCTCCAGGAAGAAATGAATCCCAGAGCTGTGGCAGTTTTCCCCTTGCCTGCCAGGTTCTGGGGGATAAGAGCAAGTGGGAGGCACAGAGAGGGTGGGACGGGCAGAGTTCAAACCTTCTCATTATGCTCCAAGATAGAGATCAAAAGACAACTTTACAAATTAATAAGGCCTCCACCTGGGCAGAGCCTCTCCCCAGCATGGATGGGCGGGAGGGGAGCGTGCCATAATGAGCAAACTGCCTCTTCTTCACCAGCCGGTAAGACAGGTTCTGGGCTCCTTGCAAACAAACCCTGTGGCCCAGCTCATTAGAGTTCATTCGTGTTGTTACATATTCATATAGCATTAGCACCATCAGGCCCTGTGTTTAATCAGGCTGCAAACTTGCCTTGATCCTTGCAGGTCTTGGAGGACCTTCCATCAAGCGTATGCCAGAAGCACATGCACCAAATTGTTGGCTTGAGTAAGGAGTGGTCTTGAGATCGTGATAACAGGGCAAGGATCAGAAACCTGACACAGAAACCTGGGTTATCAGAGGAACCTGGATGATAAAGTTATCAAGGACACAAGTTAGTGCTTTGTCAAGGCAGGAGCTTGCCAAGAGCTTCCTGAAAAAGAACAAAAGAGCCATGGTTTATCTGCCTGTGGCATCTGCTTGGTGCTCAGGCACGGTCATGCTGCTCCCAGCTGCTAATCCATAAGCGGTTTCGATTGTGCATCATGGTGTACCATGGAGTGCCAACTCCGTTACTGGATGGGTGCTTCCAAGCAACAGGCTAGAGAATGGCAAGGCAAGTCTGGGATGTGGCCTCTGCTCTGCCTATCCCGGGCAGTGCTGTGAGACAGGCACCACAGGGAACCACTACACAGAGGTTTAGTCCTGACCAGAGGTCAGTGCTGATCCATCGTCAGTGAGGAGACAGGAATTTCCCAGGGTAATTCCTGCTGTAGCAGGAATTCCTGTACAAATGACCTTCGGAAATGGTGCTGTTACCACTGATGAGAAAGTGTGTGAAAGAGGCCAAGCCCACGTGCCTAGCTTTTGGGTGGACAAAATAGAGACATGTCCTTCCCTCCAGCTTCTCTAGCCCTTGGTTTCCCATCTGTCAAATGAAGATAAAGGCAACACCTTTTCTGTTGGAGATAAGCATGGATAAATCCTTAAAGACTGCAAAGGATTCAGAGAAGGGGTTATATAAAGGTGCTTATATTAAGTACCTTACACAGACACACCAGCTCTAAGCTGGGTATAATCTTGTTTATTTAGGTTAGAGCAAAAGACTTGAAGTTAAACTGGCTGGGATCTCATCTGAGCTCCAACAGGATCAGCAGTGGGCAGCTGAGCAAAACTAGGGGACGGTGCTGCCCTTTGCCTCCTTCCTTTTAAATCAGAAAGTTTTAGATACCCTGAAGAGCACTCAGTAGCTGTACCCAGCTAGCCCTAAAGATATTCAGTATCTAGGTTTTTTCCCTGAAGTTCCTGATTCCTAAACATTCGCATCCCTAAATGCACAGCCTCTTTTTAAAGAAACTGTCACCCTTTTGGTGGAAAGGGCAGAGAGTGTGGAAAGCTATTTTTTACTCTAGAAAACTCTATAAACAGAGAAGTCCAGCTACATACAAGGATTGTCTGGGCCAGTGGATGTCTTCTGCAGCTATTGAAACTACGTGCTGGCAGGCTGGCAGGCAGTGACGCTGGCTGGGGCTGCAGGAGGTTAGAGATGCTGGCACAAGCCCTTGGTTATCCTGTTAGAGGGATTAGGAGCAGACTGGGGCTTAATCCACTGCTATGGTGCTGCGATCATTTCTCCTTCCTGCTTGGAGTGGCTGACGTGTGGCAGAATGGGAGGCTTGATCCCACGGGGCAGGAAACCTTCCCAGGACCTGTGCTGTGACCTGAACCACAACTTTGGGCTCTAGGACAGAGCCATGCCTGTGAGGAATGAGGCTGGCTACCTCTGGCAGGGTTTTTTTTTTGGGCTCTTGAAGCTGGAGTGAGGGAGGAAAACCGTGTTGCAAGGAGGGTTGTGGGAGCATTTTGGGTGGGGAATCCCTCTGGGGTGTAACGGCTGACTTTATTATGAGATAAACCTAAGCCAGTGAACTCCTTTATAGAACAGATAGTTCAAACAATAGGAGCTGCTACGAAAAAAAGATCCGTGCAAGGGCTCAGCAGGACTTTGCTGGGGGTGGGGAGGGCATCTTTGCTACCTGATGATGTGGAGTGAGAGATCCTGTGGTTCAGAGGTGAGTGTCTGAGAGGGAGCGGAGGGAAGGAACACAGATCTGTGCTGATACCTGAGCCATCACTGCACACTCATTGGCCATGGGATGCACCCTGGCCAGTTTTATGGCAGATGGGGGCTTTAAGTTTGAACAAGGGGCGGGCTGTGTATTGTTTACCTCCCTTGTTCACAGGAAAACACCTTTGTATAAGCTGGAAATTAAAGAGGATTGCATCAGAGAAACAAGTGGCCCCATCACCTATTTTCCTCTTTATCACCCCAGCTACGGGAACCAGGCTATCTGTTATCAGCACAGCTTGGAAAGGATTGTAGCACAGCAAAGCCTGGCAGATCTCCATGCAGAAGAAAGCAAACCCAGTGGTAAATCCTGCTATAACAAGGCCTAAGTAGTCCCTGCAGAAGGGAGTGAAATTATGCCTGACCTTCGACCTACCCAACTCTTTCAAGTAGAGCCATCCCTTGCGAAAACTTGGCGGCTGTATGAGCTCAGGCGTGGTGTTCGCCTGTGGGAGCTGTCTCCATTCCTTCTTGCTTCTCTGTCCTTGAGAGGTTGTTCCTTTCTCTTCTCTTCTCTTCTCTTCTCTTCTCTGCTTCCCATAACCAGAGCTTCCCACTGCCAGCTGGGACTGCACAGACTCTTCCCAACCCTGGTTTCTCACTGGGATGCCTCTCTATTGCAGGTCTCCATTCACTGATGCCTGCAGGAAGCACCATCCCTATGGAGAGAGCACTGCTCCGCCAGGCCTCCATGACTTGCTTTTTAATATCCTTTCCCATGCGTGTTCCTCAGGACATCGGCATTCATGCCTCTGGGGACAGAAGGAAAACATTTTGCTTTCTGTTTTTAGTGAGGCTGATGCTTTTTCTGCAGCTCCCTCTGGGTCTTGCATTCTCTCTGAGACTAATCCAGGCAGTAGCCCCTCAAAAGGCCGAACAAACACCCTTGTCCTAGTTGCTTATGCACAGCCCTGGGAATCTTGCCCTGCACTCTCCTCCTTCTGACCTTGTTTTCGTCGGAACACCACAGCAGTAATTACCCTGAGGTTGAAGGGTTATTCGAAAGCAAGTACTGTGTCTTGTCTTCTCTTTCCGTTCCAGCTGCTGTTTCTCCCTGCACTGGAGTTTAAACTCTACCTGGAGTTTCCTTTGGGTTTTTATTAATTAAAGGAAATACCACCAGCAAGGGTGATGGATGTAGGTGGGAATATGTGTCCCGTTCCATGTGTTCCTCATGTCCTGGCACTCTGACAAATCACCAGTGCACCAGGACCTGCCGGCAGGTCTGTCCCTGGGGTGTCACTCCCAGTTTGGGTGCTCTCATGGGCACTGGTTGACTGCATCTGAGAAAAGCATTAGCTGGACGCTGGAGCGGACTGGGAAGACTGGTCAAAGTGCATGGCCTGGCTGGGCTGCCCGGCCTGCGGCTGCTGCCGTGGCTGCATTGCCAAAAGCAGTAATGTAGCAACACTTGGGCAGAGTCAACACATAAATATGAGTAGCCCAAGTGTCTGAGGTGGGTTAGTTAATGCTGAAATGGAGGGTTTTGCAAGAAGAAATAAAAATCAGCTTCATATTAGGAGGAGGAGGGCTTTCCATTACAGGGTCAAATGATCCAGCATTCCTGTGCTGTGCAGTGCTCTTTTCCAAAGAATTTGCTGCTGAATATGGATTTAGCCTGAATATGCTTTAGTCTTTCAGGGTTAAATATGTTTCTGCCTTCCAGGGCAGAGCTCCCCACATGGCACCAGTTCCTCTCAATAGCATGGCTGGGCTTTTCCAGCTCTTGGTGGCTGGGCACAGCTCAAAGAGGAGCTAGTTTGTGGCTGAACCAGTGTAGCTGTGGTGTGGTGCTTTGGGCAGAGAACTGTTATGTCCCTCCCAGTCCCTTTCCCGTGTATGCCCAACCTGGATGAAAGCTATTTTCCTCGATGGAGGAAACTTGGGAAAACCCCATGCCGCTGGCATGCTGGATGACAAGGGTGGCACAGGGCACTAGTGTTCCCTGTCCAGCAGAGGGGAAGCCCTCGCCAGCTTTCATCCCATCCAGGGAAAGAAAAGTGGGGTTTGTGCTGCAAAACAGCTCTTCCGCCTGCCAAGTGTTGTCAGCCCCTAAGTACATCCCAGCCCAGCTCTGCACCCTCTGCCTGCCAGGGGTGGGAGCCATGGGCACTGCCAGGCTCAGGAAGTCCCCACCGGCCAGCCGAGGGTCAAGGTCTGGCGTGGGGCGAACCAGCGGACCCCCCGCACTGGAGCATCATCAATTTGCCCGTGGCGGCTCTTACTTCCAGGCTGCTAATGAGGCATCTTTGGCTCTGAGGCCAGTCCGCAACCCTGCCTCTCTCCCTCCTGCTGCCTGCCTGAACCCTACAACCCGGGCTGGCTGCGGTGCTCCCTTTGCTGCCTGCACCCCTAGCGCTGCCTGCACCCTCGAGGGGGCTCCCCCGGGTCGCGGACCCTCGGTGGGGCTGTGCCAGGCTCGGCGGGGCCGGTCCCGGTCCCGGTCCCGCCCCGGGGGCGGGCGGCGGAGCACGTGGGGCCTCCGGGCCGGGCTGAGTCACTGCCCGCCCCGAGCCCCGCGGCGAGCGGAGCGGAGCGGCTCGGTGGGGATCGCACGGATCGGCTCGGCGCGGCTCGGGACGCAACATGAGGATGGCGAGGTTGTTGCGACTGCTGTTGGCCCTGGCGCTGGGGCTCTCGCTGCTGCTGCTCGTGGCCGGTGAGTGCCGGGGAGCCCGGGATGCCGAGGAGCCCGGGATGCCGAGGAGCCCGGGTGCAGGAAAACCTCGCTGCCAGGGAGCGTGGGGTGCTGGAGTGCCGGAGTTCAGAGGTGCCGGGGGTCCCGTGGTACAGGGGAGCCAGGGCGACGAGGAGCCTGAGGTGCTGGGGATCCGGTATCTTGAGTGCAGCGTTGTCCGGTATGCAGGGAATCCGCGGTGCAGGGGAGCGTGAGGGGCAGGGGATCCAGAGTACCGAGGATCTCAGGATGGTGGGGATCTGGAGTGCGAGGGATCCGGAGTGCAGGGCATCCAGGGTGCAGGGGTTGTCCAGTGTGCAGGGGAAGCCGGGATGCTGAGGATCCGCGGTGCTGGGGATCCGGATGCAGAGCGAGAGGATGTGGGGTGCAGGGTGAGCGGGTCCCAGCTGCCGGATGTGGGGTGCAGGGGTGGGAGTGAGAGGGTGCGCAGCCCCAGGGCTGCCGCTGCAGGAGCAGAGGAACTCGTGTCCATGGCCCCGTCCTCGCTCCCGAGCCGTGAGTCGCTCAGCCGGGTTATCCCGTGCTCTCAGGCTGAGATAACCGTGCTCACAATGTAAACAACCTCCCTGGGACCGCCTGGTACTGCGCGCCCGGCTGGCCCAGGGAGTAGCAGCACCATCATCACCCTGTGGGTCATGTCTGGGGCGATTGGTTCCAAAAAGGGATGGAGGAGACCAGAGAAAAGGGGAGCAAAGCCCAAGTGGAGGCTCCAGGCCAAGGGACAAAGGGCAGCAGGAAGAGGTGAGGAAGGCCCTGTTTGTGTTCACTCTCCCTGGGCTGAGGTGCCCTTTTTGCCCTCTCGAGACCTGACCTCCCCCAGCCCTGCTGGGATGAGCTGTCGCAGTATTTGGAGGATGTTATTTTTGCCTTCCAGCCAGGCTGTGGGTTCATATAAGCAAACATTTTCAAAAGCAGTGGCTGATCTTTGTTGCCTTGGTTCCTGAGTGTTCAGTCTGTGACAGCTCTGTCCCCGACCAGAGAAAAATGAGTGTGGAGGATGGAGATGCTGAACTGCTCCGAAACCAGGAGCATCCAAAACTGCTTGCTACAGTGGAAAATGTGACCTGTGTGCCTCACTGCTAGGAAGGGGGCTGGCTACTGAGACCCACCACGTAAGGGATTATTCCTGGGAGGGAATAAAAGGGAGTCCGGTTACTTGGAATAACTGAAGTATAAAACTGGGACCCCTCCTGTCCTGACCTTGGGAGGAGCCCTTGCTGCTTTGCTGCGGTGTCCCACCCCAGACCCTCCTGCGCTGGAGGCAGTGAGGATGCTGGGGAGGACACATTCCTTGGTGCTCCATGCCTGTGGAGGCAGCTGCTGCTGAACAGAGGTCGTTCTGTCTGCAAGGTCTTGGCTGGCTGCCGGGAGAGATCCTTGGGATGGGGAGACTGGATGTGCCTGAGACCTGTGGAGGGGCGTGGGGCAAAGGCATCCCCATTATCAGCAGGAGCCCTCTCTTCCCATGGTGTAGCTCATGGCAGCGCATTGATGGAGCATGAGGTCATGCAGAACAGGCTGGGCAGTGCAGGCAGCAACTTGAACCGCTGCCCAAGTTTTTCTGCCTCCTGAGGCTGAGCTAAGGGAGCTACAGCATCTTTTTGGAAACCTTCATCTGATGTTGGCCTGTCTGCCACCAGTGTGTACCCTACAGATGTGGAGTGTCAGGAAGAGTAGGATTAACTCGAAGGAGTCCTGCTATTATAGGACTAATGAGTAGGAGCTCACTGAGTAGTAGCTTAGGCTAATGAGAACTGCGCTGTTTGGTGTGGGTCTGGGCAGCGAGCCCACAGCTTGTTAACTTCCACCTTCTCCAGGTCATGCAGGTAGTGAAGGGTTATTCCTGGGTCTCCACCTGGGTTCAGCCCTTGCTCTGACTCCTGCAGTGTGGCAGAGAAGAGCCTGCCATCAAGAGATGTGCTGTCCTAGCGCTTGGTGAGGAGTTACTGAGGCTTTCAGCCAGTTCTGTGGAAATCTGATGTAGGTTTATGGAGAATGTTGCCATCTTGCAGCTTTTAGGGCAGAATTAATTAAGGGTGGGAGGAATTTCAGCCCAGCTCTTGCAATCTGATTCAACCCTGCAATGGGGAGCAGAAGGTTGATGGGTGCGGCGGGCTGACTTCACTCACTCCCCTCCTCAACAGGATAGGGTGGGAAAAAGAAGGCAAAGATCCAGTGTGGGTCCTTCCCATAGGCTGCAGTTCTTCGTGAGCTGCTCTGTTGTGGGTCCTTTCCATGAGATAAAGTCCATAAGGAAGAGACTGTTCCAGCCTGGCATCCTCTGTGGGCTGTGGTGTGGATATCTGCTCCCCTGTGGTCCTCCACAGGCTGCAGGGAGACAGATCTTTTCCATGGGCTGCAGTGGAATCCCTGCTCCAGCACCTGGAGCACGTCCTTCTCCTCCTTATTCTCTGCAAGTGAATAAGGGGGTGTCTGCAAGGCTGTTTCACATTTTTCTCACTCCCTGCCCACAGCTGCTGTGCAGTGCTTTTTACTTTGTCTTGGGTTTATTATCACAGAAGCAACCCGACTGTTGGTGATGGGCATGGCTTTGGGCAGCAGAGGGTCTGTTTTGGCATTGTCTGGGACTGGCTGTCTCCAACATGGGAGCACCTCCTGGTGTCTTCTTGGAGGAGCCACCCTTCCAGCCTCTTGCCACCACCACAGCCTTGCCACATAAACCTTATACCATGGGAGATGCTGGAAGTGGATGAACAGGCAGAGAAGATGGTGCAGCCCTACCAGTTCCCTGGGGGAACCTGTCTGTGAGCTGGGGCTGCCTTGTGGGAGCTGCTTGGAGACTGATGAAAGTCTGGCAGATGTTCTGCAGGGATGGACTCTGTACTCCCTCCCTGCATGTCTCCAGCATCTGGGAACTGAGGCATACAGGCTCCCCCTACAATTTTTTTTGCTTGTGTTCTTACAAGTACAAACTTTCATGAGCAAAACGTAGCAGTGGCACCAGCCCCTTTCCCTTGAATGATCCTGTCCTGCTCATGCCCAAGTGCACCTCAGCCTGGCCATCCCTGCTTCCCAGCCAAATGTCAGAGACATTTGATGCACCAAAGCCCTGGGTTTCCCCTGTCCTCCCTTTGATGTGCAGGCTCTGTTAAAACCCTTTTTTAATGTGCCAGAGCAGAGCAGGTCCTTGCTGCTCTCTCGTGCTCCTGGTCTTAACCATCACTCTTGAATGTCAGCAGCCCTGTGCAGGATCCAGCAGTTGGTCCCTACCAGGTGCTCCCCTCCTCGTGGAATCTGCAGCAGACTAGTTCCTGCTTTTGGGTGTGCATCCACGGGATTCTGGTGGATGCCTGCCTCGGGATGGTCTGCAGTGACACATGGCTTTACTCCCAGGTGACTTCTGCGATGTGAACCACTGTCAGAATGGGGGCACCTGCCTGACTGGGATTAATGAGGCCCCCTTCTTCTGCATCTGCCCTGAGGGCTACGTTGGGATTGACTGCAATGAGACGGAGAAAGGTGAGGAGCTGACCCTCTCCTGGGTGCTCCATGAAGGCCAGGAGCTTTGCAGGAAGTTAGTATGCCCGTGCTGTGGTCCTGCACCACTGCCCCTGGGGTCCGGCCTTGCTGATGGCGGATGGACACATAGAGTGGAGATCCAAGCATGGATATGGTGACGGGATACACCTGGGGGGAATGCAATGTCTTTGGGGATTGGCAGCCCACTGGATGCTCTTATTTTCCACCTGTGCATTTATTACAGCTGTATTTTCCCCTTCCCAGGCCCCTGCCACCCCAATCCTTGCCACAACAATGGCGAGTGCCAGCTGGTCCCAAACCGAGGGGACGTCTTCACTGACTACATCTGCAAGTGCCCCACGGGGTACGATGGGGTGCACTGCCAGATCAGTGAGTATGGTGCTGTGAGGGGGCCAGGGGAAGCTGCTTCTCCACTAAGGCTTGGAGTCCCTCTGGACAATTCTGGGCTAACAACTGGAGGGTGTTTGCAGCTGTGACTGTGTGGGGCACCAGCTTCTGTCAGGGACCATGGGCTGTTTTGCAACTTGCAGGGTGGAGGGAAGGACCATGGCACAGGGGCAGGCTGTGTCTGAGCCTTGTTCTGCATCTCTGGAGGGACACAGTGCCTCGAGTAATGAGACAAGGGATACCTCAAGGCTCAACCTGCTCTGTGTGGGCTCCCAGCCTTGAGTGTCCCAGTGCACTCCTGTGATTGCACTCAGTGGGGATGTGGTGTAGACGGCTCCTTGGGTTAGAGCTTCAACCTGTGCACCCTATCATCAGGGGACTCTGCCATGGCCCTTGCAAAGCCATGGCCCTCCCCTCTTCCCGCTGCACCAAATGAGGGGTCTCCTCTCCAGGATTGATTCTGGGATCACCTCCTGAGCTCCCCCACTCTGTCTCCTAGACAAGAACGAGTGCTCCTCCCAACCTTGCAAAAATGGAGGCACCTGCCTGGACCTGGATGGTGACTACACCTGCAAGTGTCCTTCTCCATTCTTGGGGAAGACCTGCCACGTCCGTAAGTCCCTGGCACTAGCTGTACAGAATTCCCTTTCCTTCCCTGTTCCCCGCTATTCTGTCTGTCATTGCCAGTGTGCCAAGGAGAGGTCTCACCAACTGGGTTAGGGGATCTGAAGGGCAGCTATGGGTGCTGGTGTGCTGGCTGCCCTTGATGCCAGCCAACCTGGTCCTAATGGAGGGAACATCCTTGGGAAGGTGCTGTCTCCTCTCTGGGGTGGCCCCCAGATGGCCCTTTCACCCCAGACCTCTGTACTGTGAGGGGGACAGATGGATGGTGTGGTTTTGGATGAGGGCTGACAAGCAGAGGACACCCTGGGGACAACCAGATCCTAGGACTGGCCTCCATTTCCTTCTCTGTCCCCAGACAAGAAACAAATGACCTCTAGTTCTGCTCCCTGGTTACTGTCTCTCTTTGGCCCTGATCTTCCCATTGTCCCCAGGCTGTGCTGTTCTCCTGGGCATGGAAGGAGGAGCCATCTCTGATGCCCAGCTCTCGGCATCCTCTGTTTACTACGGCTTCCTCGGCCTCCAGCGCTGGGGACCAGAGCTTGCCCGCCTCAACAACCATGGCATTGTCAATGCCTGGACCTCCAGCAACTATGACAAGAGCCCCTGGATCCAGGTACCTGCAGCAGGACTGGGAGCACCAGCATAGAGAGCAGCCCCGGTAGCCGTGGCTGATCTTGCAGCACTGCTGTCATGTGATTTCCCTGCTCCCGGTGGCAAATGCGGGGCTAAATTTCTGCAGCAAGGGGCATCTTGGGATGTGCCTGGAGAAGGCAAGTCTGTTGGAAGAAGCTGGGAACCTGGGATGGTGATCCCTGGTCTGCCCACCGTGGGATGCAGGGCTGGAGGGATGGAGGGCTTTTGCCTGAGGGAAGTCATAGCGCCCTGGGCATCCTCTCTCCCCGTCCCAATGCTGAGTGTAAGCCCGCCTTCCCATCCAGGCTTGGTGGTGCTGGTGGGTGCAGGGGCTGTGCACCCTCTCTGTGCTGTGCCTTGTTCATCCTCCTCCCCTCCACAGGCCAACCTGCTGCGGAAGATGCGGCTGAGCGGGATCATCACGCAGGGCGCGCGCCGCGTGGGGCAGCAGGAGTTCGTCCGCGCCTACAAAGTCGCCTACAGCCTGGATGGGCGGGAGTTCACCTTCTTCAAGGATGAGAAGCTGGATGTAGACAAGGTGGGCTGCAATGCTCTGCATAGGGGGTGTCCCAGCTCCCCCCACTCCATGCTGGAGTCGCTGTGAGCTGCATCCCAAAGTGTCCCCGTGTGTGGAAAAATGCTTTTGACCTGGGCCAAAGCCGTGTTGAGAGCCATCCTAGTAGTGAGATGGCACAGGCAGTTCCAGTGCCGAGAAGTGCTCTCTGCCTCTGTTTAATTGACCATAATAAGCATAATCAAAGAAGCGGCACTGACATATTTAGGTCATTCAGATAATATCTTTATCACTGACACACTGGGAACTGGGCATGGTCTGACAGTGCTACTGAACAGCTTGGGTGGCTTATGTGTCTGCACTAAGCACTAGTTGAGAGTGTGTCTCAGAGCAGAAATACTCATAGATTGCAGTGCTCTCCACTCTCAGTTCTTTATGGTAAATGTCTCCTGGTGGATTTTTGAGCATCCAGGAAATGGTTGTGAGTATCTGCTTTGCTTAACAAAAATGAAAAATTCCTCTTGTTTCTGCAGCAGTGGAAAAAAATGCATGAAAACATGACCTGACTCTATTTGTTGTGTTAAAGAAAGAAGCGAGTTACCTCTGTGCTTTTTTTCATAATTTGTGGAGCATTGTGATAGTGGGAGGGAGTGGATGTTGCTGCATATGTGGCTCTGTGGGGGTGAGGATGAATTAGAAAGTATTGCAAAGCTCTGTTGAGAGTGTTGAAGCTGCTGCAAAGTCACGCACTGCTCCAGGGCAGGAGAGCAGAGCCCAGCTTTCCCCTCTTTTACTCATGAAAACATCCTCCTCTGCCTCCTGCCAAAGCTTTCTGTATTCCAGGGCTGTGCTGTGGGGACATCTGCAGCAGGAGGCACTGTGAGACAGGGAATAGCTGGGAGCTAAAAATCCTGGGAAAAGGCAGCCCTATTGCCACTGGCAATGCTAAGGTCTGTCTGTCTGCTGTGCAAGGGATTTGATGCAGGAGGCCGTGGGAAGGCTGGGCCACTCAGCCCTGCTCACTGTTGCAGGTTTTTGAGGGGAACATGGACTATGGCACCATGAAGACCAACATGTTCAACCCCCCCATCACGGCCCAGTTCATCCGCATCTACCCCGTGATGTGCCGCCGGGCCTGCACGCTGCGCTTTGAGCTCATCGGCTGTGAGATGAACGGTAAATGTTGGTGGCTCTCCCCTCCCCAGGGGCCGCAGGGTGACATGGAGCAGGGCATCACCCCTTGTCCTGTTTCTGATCACCCAGCACAAGGGATTTGTCAGTGCTTGTTTTTCCTGAGGCTGGTGCCTGGAAATACCCTGGGTGCGTTTGGGGAGCACAAGCTGTTAATCCCACTGGCTCAGCCAGCTTGAGCTGCATTCTCTTGCTGCTAACACCTCTAACACCTTCCAAGCCAGGACTTTTTATTGTGACCCCTCCCTGTCAGCTCCAGCTGTGAACTGGCTGCTTTTCCTGCCGGGGAGCTTGAAAAGCACCAGAGGATCAAAGTACTCTGGGAAATGTGAGGGGTGAGCCCTTTCCCTGTGCCGCCCACATTCCTGCTCTGTGGCACATCTCCAGCAGCCGAGTGGGACTCATGTGTCTGTGTGGGAGTGGGATGCTGTGGGGACTTGGGTCCTATCCTGCTGCTATGCGGGTGTGGCACCATCCATGATGTTGGCTGGGGATGTCTTTGCATTGCTCTCTTCGCTCATGAAAACACCCTCCTCTGCCTCCTGCCAAAGCTTTCTGTATTCCAGGGCTGTGCTGTGCTGTGCTGTGCTGTGGGGACATCTGCTTGTCTTTGCAGCAGGAGGCACTGTGAGACAGGGAATAGCTGGGAGCTAAAAATCCTGGGAAAAGGCAGCCCTATACCTCTGCTGAGCATTTCCCTGCCTGGCCCTGTTGCTGCTCCAGGCAATGGAAACATGGGAATGTGGGGATGGCTTCTTGGCAGGGCTGCGGGGTTTTGCTCGCGTCGGTGCTGTGGACTCTTTCCCTTTCACTGCCTGTGTAAACTGTTGTGTTACAGTGTATTTCAACACGGCAGGTTGCTCGGAGCCTCTGGGCATGAAATCCCGCCTGATCTCCGACCAGCAGATCACAGCCTCCAGCGTCTACAAGACCTGGGGCATCGATGCCTTTACCTGGCACCCCCATTACGCTCGCCTGGACATGACGGGCAAAACCAATGCCTGGACCGCGCTAAACAACGGCCAGTCCGAGTGGCTGCAGGTGGGTCTCTGGGCCCTCCCTCTGTATCTCCTCCCCAGCTTCTCCAGCTGTGTCTGGGGCCACTTCATGTGCCTGGGGTCACCTCCTGTGCTGAGGTGGCTGGAAGGAGGATGGGCACCCCTGATGGGGTGGGCAGAGCACCTTGCTGTGGGGCACACGGCCCGGCAGCACACTCCCCGAGCTGGGGACACAGGGGCAGGTCAGGATGGGACCACAGTCACTGGTTTTAACAGCAGTCCTGGAGCTCTGGGTCAATGCCCATAGGGACAAGGTGGTGCTGTCTCTGTACCTCGTGGGTACATCAAGCATACAACACCCCAACTCTGCATCACCCCTTGAGGAAATGCCATCCCAGCCTGAGACGACTGTCCCATGACCCTCTGGCTGCCCAGAACACCATGTTTCTGTTTTGCAGAAAAAAAATCAGGTTTGCTTTTCTCTTCTCAGTCTGGAATGGAAACAAATAGTTTTGAAATTTCCTTCTCGGTTTCCTTTCCTACCCTGTTTTTATACTTTTCACATGATTCACATGACATAATAGGACAAAGCAGTTTAGATATTTGTCCCGCTTTTTATTTGGGAAATGATTAAAAGCAGCTGTTTCACAGCCCTAAATAAAGCAGCTTATCATGACGTTGGCTGTTGGGGTCAGGATGACACGCTGAGTTGGGCTGTTGCACCACAGACCACTGTTTGTGTCTGTGTGTATAGATTTACATATAAACTCAGGATTTATATTGTATAGCTGGAACTGCCCTTGATGAGCATGGAAAAAGAACTAAATTAAGGAGACTTTCAACTCCTTTCCTGGTTTACCCTGCGCCAGCAGCAGTAGCGCAGCGTGGCAGAGTAAAGAGAATAGAAACCATCTCACTTAGAACCCAAATGTCAGCCTGTGCTGAACGGCATATTTTCTCAGCAAGAACTGCTTTCCAGTGGAAATGCATTTCCTCCGGGAATCCTTAATTTTTTTTGAATGGAGATTTTTTGCCATCATTCCCACATTGACATTTTCAGCAAAAAATGTGGAGATGGCGGGAGTGGGCAAGGGCACTGAGGCGGTGGGTTTGTGCCCACTTTAGATTGCCTTGAGAAATGCTGTGAGTGTTGAAGGATCAAATATATCACAGCAGTGTTTTATGTGTTGCCTGGCA